GGGTTGTTAACCAATGTCATAAAACAATATGTGTACTACTGTTTCATGAGAAACTATTTGTTCTGTAAGCCTTCACCTGAAGTACAATTAAAAAGAAAAAAAATGAAATATTCTTCCTGACCAAAGCACATGAAAATAGTATAGTTTCTGTTACCTTTGGTTGCTCCTTACAGTTTCAGGATTCACTTTGATGAGCTTATCAAGATCTTGGTTCCTTTAAGTGAAAAAAATTAAAGCAGTTTGGGTTAGAGATGGAGCCCTGGCGGTGCAGTGGTTAAAATACTTGGTTGCTAACCGAAAGGTCAGTCAGTTGAAATCCACCAGCTTTTTCACTGTTGGAGAAAGATGTGGCAGTCTGCTTCCATAAAGATTTATAGCCTTGGAAAGCCTATGGGGCAGTTCTACTCTGTCCCCTAGGGACAATATGAGTCAGAATCGACTTGATGGCAGTGGGCTTGGTTCAGTGGGTTAGAGATAATATGGGTTTAAGTCATTGGAAATGGGAAGGATTAGCTATATTATCATTTAGTATAAGGCATATTTGTTTTGTACAGAACAGCTTGAAATGAATTTTCTAACCAATCCATAGGAGGATAAATTATGCTGGATTAAAGGAAAAGTGACTCTGACTTTTTGTACGTTGTTACCAGCGTCTATCTATAAGGGCCCAGCTACATGAGTCAGGTCAGCTTGACTGCAGCTGGACTGGACTGATCAACAAGGGCACACTTGTTAAGTGTTACACAGCAAACATCTGGTGATTAACAATTTTTTACTCTTGAATGTTTTAACATTATGAAGATTCAAACTGATTCTAACGTCCTTGTCATTATCAATCTATGTTCACCAACTAAGGATATCAATTAAAATAATTTTTTTAAAAAGGCTCTAAAACTGGGATTATTCTTAATATAAGGCTTGGCAAAGGAGTTCCAGCAATTCGTCAATACTATGACTTTTCTTTCCTCTGTAATCTAAAAGTCCCTAGGTGGGGCAAAGGGTTTGCTCTTGGCTACTATCCGAAAGGTTGCCAGTTTGAACTCACCCAGGAGTGCTACAGAAGAAAGATTTGGCGATTGGTTTCTGTAACAATTAAAGTCAAGAAAACCCTATGGATTTCAGTTCTACTCTGTAAGATATGGGGTCACCATGAGTTGGAATCGACTGGAAGGCAACAGGTTTTATGATGACTAAAAAACTGAATTAAACTCAGTTATTTATAGTCATAATCATTATATGCTCAGACTGTCCTGTCCCATTCTTTTCTCAGCTACCAACCATTTTTGCAATCATCCATTCCTCAGGACATGGCAATAAATCACAGGACTAACAGCACTTGCTATAACTATCATCTTGGACAGCACTGCATCTCCCAACAGTCCTTTCTCCTTAAATAAAAATAAAATATATCTTGTTTTTCAGAAAAATCACAACTCAACAGCAAAAAGAACAAACAACCCAATGGGAAAAAAATGGGCAAAGGGCTGGAATAGACATTTCTCCAAAGAAGAAATACAAATGGCCAACAAGCACGTGACAAGACGCTCAACATCACTAAGTCATTAGGGAAGAATGCAAATCAAAACCACAATGACGTATCACTTCACACCCACTAGGATGGCTATTATTTAAAAAAAAAAAAAAAAAGGAAAATAAGTGTTGGGGAGGATGTGGAAATTGGAACCCTTGTCCGTTGTTGGTGAAAATGTAAAATGATGCAGCCACTGTGGAAGACAGTCTGGCAGTTCCTCATAAGTTAAGCATAGAATTACCATATGGTCTAGCAATTCCATGCCTGGGTATAGACTCAAAAGACTTGAAAGCAGCGACTCAAACAAGATACTTGTACATCAGTGCTTAGTGCAGCATTATCCACAATAGCCAAAAGGTGAAAACAACCTCAATGTCCATCAACAGATGAATGGATAAACAAAATGTGGTATATTCATACAATGAAGGATCTCAGGAACAGTCCTGAATTGTCTTGATTGAAAGCATGATGCAATTTGTCTCCATGAATTGAAAACAACGAATATATAGCCATTTGCTTCAGGCTCTGGATTCTGCAAATACATAAATCTTGTATCTAAATTCTATTCAGGGAATATGTAACATTTTTCACACTCAATTTATTGCTTTCATTTATTTTACTTTAAGGACCTAGTAAAGGATACATTAGAATATTTAGGCATTATTACTGTCACAGATTGAATTGTGTCCCCCAAAAATATGTGTATCATTTTAGCTAGGCCATGATTCCTAGCACTGTGTGATTGTCCACCATTTTGTCATCTGATGTAATTTTCCTGTGTGTTGTAAATCCTGTCTCTATGGTGTTGATGAGATGGGATTAGCGGCAGTTATATTATTGAAGCAGGACTCAATCTACTAGATTGGATTGTGTTTTGGGCCAATCTCTTTTGAGAGATGAAAGAGAGAAGTGAGCAGAGAGACACGAAAACCTCATACCATCAAGAAAGCAGCACCAGGAGCAGAGTACGTCCTTTGGACCCAGGGTCCCTGCACCTGAGAAGCTCCTTGACCAAGGGAAGATTGATGACAAGGACCTTCCTCCAGAACCGACACAGAGAGAAAGCTTTCCCGTAGAGCTGGCATTCTAAATTTGGACTTCTAGCCTCCCAGACTGTGAGAGAATAAATTTCTCTTTGTTAAAGTTATCCACTTGTGGTATTTCTGTTATAGCAGCACTAGATAACTAAGACAATTACTCAAATGAAGTTTAAAAGCATAAAAGTGTTTTGTAGTCATTTGTATATTTGTGCTGCTGTCATCTATGGAGTAATCCTTCAAGTGACCCCGTGAGAGCAATTAAGGACACCCCCTGGCGGTCCTGAGAAGGGCTGCTATTTCAACTTCACAGCCTCTGCTATTTCAAAAACCAAACCCTCTGCCACTGAGTCGATTCCAACTCATAGAGACTCTATAGGACGGAAGCAGATTGCCGCATCTTTCGCCCATGGAGTGGGTGGTGGGTTCGAACCGCCAATCTTCTGGTTAGCAGCTGAGCACTTTAACCACTGTGCCACCAGGGCTCCTCTTCTGCTATTTTAGGAGGTGCTTAATTAACTTTCATTTACCTTAAGATCGAATTCTGTGTGCTGTGATGTAAAGACCAGGAGTAGGGCTGGCGATTAGAAGAACTCGTGGAAGACTCTGAGACTTTCGCCCAGGCCTCTGTATTCTCATCTGTAGCATGAGGGGATTGGACTGGATTATCTCTAAGGCTCTGTTCATCTCTAACATTTCTACTCGTAGGAATCTATGAATATGAATTTTACTGCTTGTCATGTTTATTAAATTAGCTATTCAATGTCTATTTCTTTTTGAATCCAACTCACTGACAATACTTTTCTATATTCAGCAAGCAGCACAAAAGTGTTCCAAAATGTAATATATTAAACTGACAACCTATTATTGCCTTGGAGTAACATCTCTGTGCCCGTTACATAATTAGCTTTAATCTATGATAATCGCCTGCTGTTAATAAGATTGAGTATGTCTTCTGAATTCCCTTTCTGGTGTTCACGCACGGCCTATAATTATACCTAACTTGCAACTAATGATACCTAATTGTAAGCTGTGAACCCAGTAGGTGCTCAGCAATTATTTACTGCGTAAGAGATCACAGACTATTATCAGTTTTCCACCCTTTTCCCTGTGACCTTGGTCAACTCATTTAACCTTTCCAAGTCTTAATTTCCTCTTTTGTGAAATGTGTAGGTTCAACCGGACCAGTGATTTTTCAAAATGTGTTCAAACTACTGGGCTGAGAGTTCTCTGGGGTTCCTTCCTTCTCTAAAATTTTTTGACTTGTACGGACAAAACTTAAAAAGAGAAATCATAAAAACATTCTTAAGATACTTGTCATGGATTGAATTGTGTCCCCGAAAAATATCTGTCAACTTGGCTAGGTCATGATTCCCAGTACTGTATGATTGTCCACCATTTTGTCATCTGATGTGATTTCCCTACGTGTTGTAATCTTATCTTTATGATACTGATAAGATGAGATTACCCGCAGTTATGTAAACACAATCTACAAGATTAGATTATGTTTTAGGTCAATTTCCTTTGACATATAAAAGAGAGAAGCAAGCAGAGGGAGAGGGGGACCTCCTACCACTAAGAAAGCAGCACTGGGAGTGTGTTCTTTGGATTCAGGGTCCCTGCACCTGAGAAGCTTCTCAACCAGGGGAAGATTGATGACAAGGACCTTCCTCCAGAGCCGACAGAGAGAGAAAGCTTTCCCTTGGAGCTGACACCCTGAATTTGGACTTGTAGTCTACTAGACTGAGAGAATAAATTTCTCTTTGTTAAAGCCATCCACTTGTGGTATTTCTGTTGTAGCAGCACTAGATGACTAAGACAATACATAACACAGTAACGGGCAACGATATAAAAATCTTCATATAGCCAACGACAGAAAATGAATTTTACTATCTGACAGATACTACTTAAAGAATTATCAAATGGCCGATCCATCACCTTGCTGGGAGAAGCAAACGATCTAAGGAAATGAACCTCACTCCATTTCCACTGGCTACCGGAAAACACAGGCTTCCACAGTGAGGAGAAGGATACTGCTCATGATGAGGCTATGAAGTGGATGGATCTTTTTTATTTCTAATTAACTCTCATTAATAAATTTTAATCAATTTCAAAGACAAAAGAATTAACATCAATACTACAAAAACAAAATAAAACAAACAACAGAAGGACTGGCCCTGTACCTACCCCCATGTCTCTATTCACTCCCATTATCTGCTTTACTTGAGCCTGAGTGAAGTTGGACTTCTTTCAGCTGACTCTTCTTCTTGCTGTTAACCAAACTAAAAAGAACCCAACCCATTGCCATCAAGTTGATTCCAACTTCACCCCAGGTGTTGCAGAGCAGAACTGAGTTCCACAGGGTTTTCTTGGTTGTAATCTTTACAGAAGCAGATCACCAGGCCTTTCTTCCACAGTGCCACTGGGTACATTCGACCCATCAACCTTTCTGTTAGTAGTCGAGTACAAACCTTTTGCACCAGCCAGGGACCCTATTGCTATTAACAAATAGATATCAAAGTTTCTAGGGACATACAAAATTGAATGATTTTTCAAGACATATTCAATTTACCTAAGGAATAATTATAAGTTACTTATAGTCACACTGTGATTAGTTAAGGAGAAACAAAACAAAGAAACAAATAACATCCTTCTCTTACCCAGTGGTATTTTTGACAGCTTTGGGGCTTACATTAATAAGCTCATCAAGACCTTGTTCACTGCTAAAATAAAATAAAAAGTTAAATTTTCTTGGAACTCAGCAAACTTCATGACTAGCTTTGTTTTTTTTTTTTTTTTTTGATGGGAGGTACACTTATAAATCATTCAGTGGGCTCCTAGAATAAAAGGTAATCTTTACTGACTTCCTACTTTACATACATTAGTTACCCTTTTAATCTACATAACAACCTGGTGAGGTAGAAATTACCATGCCCCCTTTTTGAATCAATTCTCTTTCTGGTGTTCATGGCCTATAATTATACCTAGTATGTAACTAATGATACCTAATTGTAAGCTCTGAACCCAGTAGGTGCTCAGCAATTATTCACTGCCTAAGAGATCACAGTTCTACTCTGTCCTATAGGGTCGCTATGAGTCAAAATCAACTGTACGACAACTTTTCTTTTGGTATCAGTCTTTCACTAATTTTCAGAGAGGTTAAGACACTCCCTGGCACCACATAACTAAGAAGTAGCTGAGAGCTAACCAAGATTGAAATCACGGCAAGCAAATCAAAGCCCCACTCTCCTTCCCAGTAACACCCTGGCTCTCTCCCAGGTTCACAGTAATTCCTTACATCTGCACAACGCTTTTTACCAACACTTTCTTCATGATAATTCTACGAGAGGTAGCGAACAACTGTTTTGGAGTTTCTCTGACACGCGTTTCTTAACTGTTGATTCAGTGTGCAATGTGTCTTAACATGTCAAGAATACAGAAGTAAATTCAATGTCATGCAAAAATATTGTAATAGAGTATAAGAAGGATACTTGTCGCCAATTTTTTCAGAAGCAGTTAAAACTGATCCTTGGTTTTATGAGAGTAGAAAGCCAATATCCTCTTTTTATTCAGTTTTATGAACTTTTACTAACATTAAATTAGTTATAATATTGTTATCATTGTGTTGAAATGAAATCTCTCAAGTAGTAATTATATAGAAGGAGCTTCAGTGTTATCATTTTAAACAATATTGTGTAATGAAATAAACAAAAACCTTAATAAAAGAAATTCCATCCAGTATTATTACACATCAACAAATTAGCTTGTTCTCTTTTTCACTTTTTTTTTTTTTTTGGTCACTTTTCAAAATATCCTTTACCAAATAACTAGTCTTTTTTGTTTTCTTGGCATAAATTGGAGAGTTGCTCAGGATCTTTAATAATCTTAATAATCTTACCTTTTGTTTGCTAAGGGGTTCACTTTGATGAGATTGTCCAAGTCTTGGTTCCTAGAAAATATTCGTAAGTTTCAATAGCTGATAAAGACAACTATAATAAAAAATATATATATTTTTTAACCTTAATACTGAATCAAATGACCATTGCTAATCTAAGTCTCCATTACTAGAATTTTCTTTTTAATCCTACATAAAAGCAGGTGGCTACTATCAATTAATTTCTTCTACAACTATGTAGATATGAGAATTTAATTATTTTTATTTTTTTCACTTCAACTTTAAAGCAGAATTACTCTTAAACTCTCTTATTTTACATATTTGTGTGGCAGAGTAAGCATTTAGAATATTTTGGGATATTGTAATGCAGAAGAGAAAAAGATAAAATTATTTATCATTTCTATATGTTCCTTGCTTCCCCCAAAAAACTAAATAAATAATAATTAATGTCTAATAAGGGCTTTACAATCATGATCTCATCTAATTTTTTCCAGTAATTCATGAGGAAGTTAACTCTTACATTCAACCACTTTACAGATGAAGAAAGTGAGTCTTAAAAGAGTTTAAGTGATTTGTCCAAGACTACACACTAATAAATATCCTTTGAACTCAAAAAGCTCATACCAAGTAGAAAAGATGGACACACAATTGAATGTAATACATGGGCAAACTACAATAGAGGTTCAAATACAGTCCAGGAAAGGCCTTGTAATTAAGCCATCTTTACCTTGAGAAACTAGGCTATTTTGGAAGGGAACCAAGGAGTACCTGTCTTTCACTGAATATTAATCTATAATGAATATAATATATTCATATTACATTTGTAATGCATGTAATATGTTCCCTGAATTCAGTGTCTGATTCTCATACAATGACAGTAAAGTTGCGTTCTCATTTGGTGAACAAAATCTAAGGACAATTTTGTAATACATATTAAGATAAAAAAATGATGAAATCCTCAGTCTAACCATGAAGTGAATGAAAAAATATATGCAAAAGTGGGGTGGGGAAAATGTCAGGCGGCATTTTGGAATCTGCCTCAACTAATTTCAGAGCTGATGCTCCTCTCCCACCTACATGAAATACTGCCTAATACAGAGATCTACAGAACTATGGACCTCAAGCAAAATCCAGCCTGCCATATGTTGTTATAACTAAAGTTTTATTGGAACACAGCAATACCCATTCATTTACAGCATATTACCTGATGTGTAGTGAACTGCTTTTATATGGCCTTTCTAGCCATGGCCTTATAACTCCCACAAAATGATTGGCTAGAACTATACAAATAAGGTATGTAAAACTTTTGCAGGGATTGGACAGTGACTATGCAAATAAGGTGCCCGTGGCTTATCAAACGGATTGGTCAGTTTTGCCGTCTCACTAGGCTTAAAAGAGCCAGTACCACAGAGGTTGAAGGAACCTCACTACCAACTAGAAGAATAGCCTGGAGCAGAGTATATCCTTTGGACCAAGGACCTGGGGTCATGCGCTGAGAACCTCCTAGACCCAGAAGAAAGAGCAAATGCTGAAAACTGCAAGAGACAGCGGCAGTGAACCTTCCAGGCCAATGAAGTGAGAGCTAAGTGCCTTCCGGCAGGAAGCTTGCTGTTGGAGCTAAAAGAGCTGTAACACTTGCTTGTGCAGGACAAGAGAGACCTCAGAGTGCCTTGTGCAGGTGTTGTACACCTTCCCCCCGGGCACTGGGGGCCCAAGTATCACTCAGGGCAAGAGAGCCCCGCAGGCTCGAGTAGTGTAACAAGAGTCAGTAGCGAGGCTTAGAAGGGCCCAGAGGCAGAGGCTTGGCAGGGGTCTTCCAGCCAGCAGCAAGGCCCAGTGAGGCCCAGGAGCAGAGCAGAAACCTTGGGAGACGTCCAGGCCTCCCAAGCAACATGGTGGTAGCCGGAGGCAGCAGTGACGTGAACATAGCATCTGACTTTAACCGAGGCGCACCTGCCCAATGATGTCAAAATGGACATGGGTAATTTGGAGAAGGGTAAGCGGTTCTCCTTTGGGAATCTGTTGTTACTGTTTATTTAATGTTTGCTTTCTATAAATAATAATAATGGCTTTCACTTTGCCAACACTGTGTTTAAATGTCTCATGTGTCCAGCTTGATCACAGATGAGTGTAGCACCCACAGAATGGCTGATAACAGTGGGTGTACGTGTCTCATTTCTAGCAGTCTAATGGCTGCCTGTGAGTTTGAGGCACAGCCTGTCTGCATGTGTGATGCAGATAGACGACATATACATACATTACTCACTGCTGTTTTTCCACTACACAGAAATGAGTAGTTGAAACAGAGATTGTTTGGCCCCCAAAGCTTGAAATATATACTATCCAGCCCATTAAGAAAAAATTTGCCAATCCTCGGTGTAGTCTAATAAACTCTGTATGGTAGCTACACACTGTAAAAGTAGAGAGCATTTCCATATGCAAAATAAGATAGGAAATATGTCAGAAAGAAGATATTTACCTTTGTATTTCTTATACCAAACTCAGGTTCAAATCAGTGTATCAGTATATCAATTTATGTTTTTAGCTTCGTGTTTTTGTTATGTCTGTTTGTTTACTTAACACAATACACCTTAGAGAAAATTCTCTCCATATTAAACACAAATGTCATGTTTTGTGTTTGTTACTATTTCAATGAACTGTGTGTAATTTTTTAAAATGACCTCTCAACATTGGGAATTGTTTGGGTGGGAGAGAATAAATGATGGAGGGAGAAAGAAGAACTTTCTTCATGTGAAGACTTTTCCTTGGGGTGCTTAGCTGTGGGAAATTATTTTCAGGTATTGTTTCCTCCCGTTGGTAGATGCTACTCATGTTAAGGAACTCTGAAGTGTGGAACTCAGACTCTACACCGGTAAGGAGTCATTCATGTATTTTTTGGAATTTTCTCCCCTCCACTAAAGCCCACAGCTAGGGAACTTGGAGCAGGGATTTGAACACCTGGCTTCTGATGCAAAGCTGTTGCATCACTGGTTGCTTCTAAGTGGGTCAGTACATTTCATCTTATTTTTAAAATTGAATAGAAAAAAGGGGAGAGAGCGAAGAGTTCCGTAAACCTCACCCTTGGTTAGTTCTGTTTGCTTCGGGAACTGCATTAATGAGATTGTCAAGACTTTGACCCCTTTAAAACATGAAAGAAATGATCAGGTCATTGGTAGAGTTATATAGCAAGCGGTTGTAAATATTTACTAAAACAGAGAAATGATTTTCATTATAAAATATTTTATTTAAAAATATTAATTAAAACAATCTTAAAGTTTGAAGTTTTTTGATGGTGACTAGACGTGTGTCTATTTGAACCCAACTATAACTGCATAAAAATAATGAACAGTAGCTAATGCTTTCAGAAAATTTATGACGTGCCAGGCACTAGTCTAAGTGATTTATACGATTTACCTAATTTAATCCTCACAACAATCCTATTACCTAGGAAGGATTATTATCACAGAAGGAACCCTGGTGGCACAGTGGTTAAGCACTCGACTGCTAACAGAAAGGTCTGTGGTTTCAATTACTGGCCCTCCACGGGAGAAAGATGTGGCAGTCTGCTTCCGTAAAGCTTACAGCTTTGGAAACCCTATGGGGCAGTTCTACTCTGTCCTATAGGGTCGGTATGAGTCAGAATCGACTTGGCAGCAATGGGTTTGATTTGGTTTTATTGTTATCACAATTTCACAGAGGGAAAAACTGAGACACAGAAAGATTAAATAACTTCCCCACTTGGCTAGCAGTAGGTAGAGCTGGAATTTAAACCTAGGAAATCTGCCATCTTATTGGAACTAAGTAACTGAACTAGTGTTGGAAGTGACTAGAGAGCATCTTGTCCAATTTCCTCACTTTAAACATGAGAAAACTGAAGTCCAAATGGGAAATAATTAGTCTGAGGTCCCATAGTGAGGGATAGAACCAGGCCTAAAACCCACATTTATGGGTTCTGGTCTAGTTTTCTTTTCCCTATACTTGTCATTCCTTCTGCTTAAAAAAAATAAACAGAAGAGCAAAAATGCCCTGTCCATCCTGGAAAAACAACTATGGACCTAGTTAATCAAACGGAGCCTCTATTATATCAGAAATTAATTGACCCAAATCTTCATCATTTTCAGGTATGATGTTGTCAAATTTACATGGTTTTTCTTGAACGATTACTAGGTTCAGCATCACTACACTGAAATGATGATTCAATTATACTTTTAAACACTGAAATGAAAAAGGAGAACTTATTAAATCTTACCCTTGGATGCTTTTTCCTGTTCTTGGGTTCACTTTGATTACATTATCAAGGTCTTTGGAGCTTTAAACAAAAAAAGCAAACAAAAGCACATAAGCAAAATGTAATTAAATCAGTGACTATTTTAAGAAATATATGTGCTCAAGATGAAATTTACTACTAAGTTTTGAAAGAAATAAATACTAGTCTGTCTTAGTTATCTAGTGCTGCTATCACAGAAATACCACAAGTGGGTGGCTTTACAAACAGAAATTAATTTTCTCAGTTTAGGAGGCTCTAGGGAAAGGCTTCCTCTCTCTGTTGGCTCTGAAGGAAGGTCCTTGTTTGTCTCTTTTGAGCTTCTGCTCCTGGGTGATCTTCACGTGGCTTGGCATTGCTCTTCCCCCACCTCTGCTTGTCTAATTTGCTCTTTTTATATCTTGTAAGAGATTGATTCAAGACATGCCCTATACTACTTCTGTCTCATTAACACAACAAAGATAACCCATTCCCAAATGGGTTCATAACCACAGGCACAGAGGTTAGGATTTATAACACTATTTTGGGGGACATAATTCAGTCCACAACATTCAACCCTTTGGCCCCCCAAAATTCATGTCCTTGCCACACGCAAAACACATTGACTCCATCACATCATCCCAAAAGTCTGAAATCAACTCCAAGTCCAAAATCTCATCTTCTGAATCATCTAAATCAAATATGGGTGAGACTTTAGGCGCATTCCATCCTGGGGCAAAATTCCTCTTCATCTGTGACCCTGTAAAATCTAGACTACAAGTTATCTGCTTCCAGAGTACAGTGGTGAAACAGGCATAAGAGAGACATTTCCATTACAAATGGGAGAAATTGGAGGGAAAGAAGAGATAAGGGGCATCAGGCAAGTCCAAAACCCAATCGAACAATTTACATTAGTTCTGAAGACTTGAAAATAATCCTCTGTTCTCTGAGACCATAGGAACAATGGCCTCACTCTCCAGACTCTGGGTGTTGGCCATCTCTCTGGATTCTGGGTGGAAGCCCCATGGCCCTGGGCCTCAGCTCTGCCTTCCAGGCCCACTGGGACGACAACTCTGCTCCCTCGGCTTAGGGTGGACCCCATTCTCCTAGTCCATCTGAGTAGCAACCCCACACCCTCAGCCCTGGAAGGCCCCATTCTTCTGCCCCTTCAGCATAGCAGCCCCACCCCCTCAGCTTTGGGTAACAGCCCCATCCCCTGGCACTCGTGAATGGCAGCCCCATACTCCAGAACCAAGTTGATGAAGATCTTACTCTTTTAAACCTAGGAGGCCATGAGTCCACCCTTTGAAACCAGTGCAGCCCTGCTTCCCATGCTCCTTCCAACTGTTCTGCTGATCTCTGAGCTTTTCCAGGGATTTTCTGTTCTTGGAGGACAACAGATGTCACTCCTTTGGCCTATTTCCTGCCTGTAGAATTCCAAGAGGCAGACAGTGTTCTTTCCTGTCTTTCTTTCTCTGTTCCCTTCAGTCTAAACTGATGGGTGTTCTGCTGTAGTAGTTGGTTATATCCATCAGTCACAGGGTTAATCTCTTTAACAAAAGATGGTATATCCACATCCTTGGTGAAAATCCTAGGACAAACGTCCTTTGTACAACAGAATTTTCTAAATCTTTAAATTTTGTTTTCATTTTGCACAGTTCATTTTTAAGTCCAGCTCTTTTCTCTCACATTTTACTATTAAGCAGCAAGGAGAAATCATGAGGCCCCTTTAAGATCTTGCTTAGAAATCTCCTCAGCTAAATATCCAAGTTCATTACTTTACAAGTTCTACCTTCCTCCACACATTTGAACATAATTTATACAAGTTCTTTGTGACTGCATAAAAAGAACCACCCTTCTTCTATTGCCCAATCACAATGTTCATCATTTTCTTTTAATGTATTCACCTGAAGCACATTTAACATTCATATTTCTAGCAACATTCTGTTGCTAGCATTATATGTATTCTCTAAAACGATAGAGACTTCCTCTATAGCTCTCCTCACTTCTTCTAAGCCCTCACCAGAATATGAGTAGATAATCAGGAAGCTGGGGACATTGAGCCCTTAAATTCAGTTGAATCACTCCTACCAACAGAACCAGCCCTCTTACCCTCATCTGAAGAGATTACTTCATCTTTGTTTGATAAACCACCCTCTTCAGTAAAACCATTATCCCTTCTACCCCATCTGATGAAACTAACCTGACAAAAATTCAGGCACCTTGTACCTCCGTGAAATTTCTAGAGGACCAGTGGTATGGGGCTTGTTGAGATATTCCTTCTAAAGTGAAGGAGAAGTTGTTGCATCTGGCCTCTCACACAACTGAAAAGGAGGCAAAACACCTGGTGGGCCTCTTTGGATTTTGGAGGTAACATATCCCTCATTTGATGGGCCTATTTATCAAGTAACTCAAAAAGCTGCTAGTTTTTTGGGGGTCCAGAACAACCGAAGGCTCTGCAACAGGTTCAGACTGTCACGCAAGCCATTCTACCCCTTGGACCATATGATCTAGCTGATCCAATGGTGCTTGAAGTGTCAATGACAGATAGAGATACTATTTGGAGTCTTTGGCAGTCCCCTATTGGTAAATCACAGCACAGATTGCTTAGGATTTTGCAACAAAGCCCTGCCATCCTCTACAGATAACTACTCTCCTTTTGAGAAACAGCTTTTGGCTTATTACTGGGCCTTAGAAGAGACTGAAAGCTTAACCATGGGCTATCAAGTCATCATGCAGCCTGAGCTGCCCCATCATGAACTGGGTGTTGTCTGATCCTCAGAGTCATAAAGTTGAACATGCACAGTAGCACTCCATCATTAAATGGAAGTGGTATATATGAGACTGAGCTCAAGCGAAACCTGAAGGCACAAGTAAGTTAATGAGGAAGTGGCCCAAATAACCATGGTCTCCACTTCTGTCACATTGTCTTATTATCTCCCAATCTGCAACTATGGCCTCATGGCGAGTTCCTTATGATCAGTTGACTGAGGAAGATAAAACTCATGCCTCGTTTACAAATGGTTCTGTGCAATATGCAGAGGCACCACTTGAGAGTGGACAGCATCAGTACTGCAGCCCCTTTCTGGGACCTCCCTGAAGGACAGTAGTGAAAGGAGATCCTCCCACTGTGTACAACTTCAAGCAGTGCACCTGGTTGTTCGCTTTGCCTGGAAGGAGAAATGGCCAGACGTGTGACTGTATACCAATTCACGGGCTGTGGCCAAGGATTTGGCTGAATGGTCGGGGACTTGGAAGGAATGTGATTGGAAAACTGGTGACAAGGAGGTATGGAGAAGAGTTGTGTGGACAGACCTCTCTGAATGGGCCAAAGAAGTGAAGATATTTGTGTCTCATGTGAACGCTCACCAAAGGGTGACCTCGGCAGAGGAAGATTTTAACACTCAAATAGATAGGATAATATATTCTGTGGAAACCAGTTATCCTCTTTCCCTAGCCACTCCTGCCATTGCTTAATGGGCTCATGAGCGAAGTGGCTGTGGTGGCAGGGATGAGGAAAGAAGGAAAAGTAAGACATAATAATCCTCACCCTTGGTTTCTTCTGTTTATATCAGAGGTCACTTTGATGAGGTTGTCAAGGCTCCGTCCCCTTAAAAACAGAGAAGAGATGATGAAGTTAATGGTAGATTAACACCAAGAGGACAAAACTATTCATTAAAATTCAGAAACAGTATAAACTCTCGTTGAAATCAAAGAGTAGAAGATTGTTGAAGATGACCATGCAGAAGAATGTAGGGATTTATACATCTCTGAAACTCATGGAGACTCAGTGAGACAATATCTTACTCTTGGAGCCATTATGCTCCTTGCAAATACTGCACTAGGACTCTGCCCCTATTTTGATTCATTTAATCCTCTGTTCTTAGCTTCATCAGGTACACAAAGCATTTATGAGATAGTCTATATGCCTGTCTTATGCCTGTTTCAGAAGGAACACCCTCTTATGACCAATCTCTAACGTGCTGTGGGATTTTAAATTCACCTTTGGAGACTTTGTGTTTTATAAAATTAACATTCATTAACAAGTTTTTATCACAAAACTGGACTAAAATAAATATACCAATGTGTTAAAAATCCATGATACGCAACCTAGTATCTGGTCCTGGGACTTATCACTATGTGTCAAAACTATAAATTTTGGACTAGATGTGCTGGCAACAAACAAGAGGAGGATTAAAAACTATAGAGTTTTAAAGTGTTTTGAAATGTAAGATATATTTACTATAACATAAAATTCCACAGTCAATGAAAACACGTCAGTATTTTGTTACCCCTCTGCTTCTGATCTTCATGGAATTCTGCTTTTCTTTTTGCATCTACGTGTGTTTTCCACATGTACAGCACCAGCAAATGCACCTCTGACCTACAGAAGATGCTGCATGGAGAAAAGAACACCCACAGGAAGGGGCTTTTACACCCAGTTTCTCCACATATCCTGTGGCCCTACTAACATCTTATCCCAAAGTCTCTCAGGTTGCATCTATACAACATCAAAGATTAGATATTTGGAAGCAAACAGACGTTGACTAAAATTTTTGTTTTTTAATTGTATTGTGTTTTAGATGAAATTGACTGAAGTTGTTTACTTGTATCCAGATGTCTGAGAATATGTATACTCAGGCAAAAAGTAAAAAAAGAAAAGAAAAAAAAACCCAAACCCATTGCCATTGAGTCCATTATGACTTATAGTGACCCTGTAAGAGAGAGTACAGCTGCCCCATAGGGCTTCCAAGGTTGTAATCTTTACGGAAGCAGACTGCCACGTCCTTCTCCCATGGAGCGGCTGGTGGTTTCAAACCACTGAGCATTAGGTTAACAGCAGAGTGCTTGGTAACCCCTGCGCTACCAGGCAACTTGGATCTTTTTCATGCAAATAACGGAACAATTAATTCAATGGGAATAACTACTCCACCCTAGATTACCACTTGTTGGTGAAGTATGTGGGATGTGAGGAGAAAACAAATTCCCAAGATTCTATTTCCAGATTTGAGTGTGAATCAGAGAAATGGGAGAACAGTAAGCATGGTAACGCCTACCTTGTCATA